CAACGCAAAGTGTAGTCGATTGAGAGCTAGTCGATACTACCTCGGATACACCTTTTTTTTGGTTTGTTCTTGCTTGAATTCTTGGCTCGGGCTGGTGGCGATGTTGCTAATCGATGGTGAGTGAACAGGTACCTTACGCAAAGATGCGGAGAACGGCAGCTAGACTTTGTCGCAGAAGGGCGGCTCGGCGTCGCCGTAAAAGGGCGACTCGGCCTTCTAGTCCTTCCTATCTTCGCGTTTGGTCGGAGCCATGGCAGCCTAGTCGCCGCGAGTCGGAGCATCGGATTTCCTCACTGCTCTGGATGGCGATTTCTCCCCCCCTCGAGCGCCGGGAGTTGGGATATGGCTTCCCTGCGCCACAGGCTGCTTCGTTGAGGAGGGGTGCGGAAAAGGGGGAGACGGAAACCTCCAATTCTGCCCCATTCCAGACATTTGGCCGCGGTACGCTTTGGTGCTGGGCTACCCCGGACTCGGGTAACCGATGGAGTAATGGTTTATTCCAAGGTTTGCTAGACACGCACAAGCACTATATGCCATCCAACCTATGCGAACCGTACCCGACCGACTACAAGCCGTATCCGTGTTATACATACAAGCTACATACGACCGATCATACACCATACACACCGGGCTCATGCTATCATTACTCTCAGGATGATTACAAGCCTTATACCTTCGATTCGTACAATCTAGATAACACAGAGCCATACACCGCGGATTCTCCATTCAAGCAGTGCACCACTCAAAACACCATAGACCAAGCCCCACCCACCATCCATTTGCCTACCCGGGGGCTCGGGGATACCATAACCCTAGCCCGATATCTCGATATAGTCACTTCAATTCCAAAATTTAGTCACACACCCGAAGTGGTAGCGCAGAGCTGCCCTAAACAACATCTCGTCATATCTCAAACTCAAACACAGCAACAGCAGCGGCAGCAACAACAGAGACTCCGGGACCAAGGCACGGAATCTTCTCAAGAGCATCAAACGCAGCTTCAAACCTCCGCCCTATTCCAGGCATTTAGGGCTCTCGCACTATTGGCTCTCCATAATCAATGCTTATCAATCCGACAATGCACATCACCAAAGATCCACCTGACCTATTTGCAATGGAGTTCCTCTCTATCAGCGCCTTCAATGAGGCTGCTGCTAGTCTAATCCCGTCTTCACATCATCAACCACAAGAATATTACCCTTACATTGATGACTCATTACCAACACTATCACCACTCACTCCCGTTACCACTCCCGCTACCACCACAGAAACACTCCTCTTTGACCCCTTCCCAGACATTGACACCACAGGCGTGGATCCGAAGGACCTGATGAAGGATTTCCGGGACACATTCACACAACCAATACCTCCAGTCCTGCCACCATCGCCACCACACTCCACACCCTCAACTTCATCCTGCCCATCCTCCTCAACACCCACACCCTCCGCCTCGCCCCCTCTAACTCCACCCTCCAAACCCCGTCGTCGCCAACGAAAACTCAGGCGGGATATTACGTACGGCTGCGCTCTCCCCACCTGCGCTCTCCCCTCCCACGCCCCTCCCATTCCCTCGCTTAACCACCACCACCATATCGCCGACGACCCAATGCACAACAAGCGCCTGTGCTGCCGATTCCCGGAATGCAATGCATGTCCGGGCTTTACTACGCGCAAGGATCGGGACAGACACGAGGTTTCGAAACACAAATCTGAGCACAGGTTCGCCTGCTCTGTGTGCGGATTGGGAATGGCCAGGCTGGATAACATGAGGGTGCATGTGCGTGGCGTGCATCCGGGGCTTACGGAGGAGGGGGTTGATGGCGGGATTATCAAGAAGAGGGGGAGGTAAAACGATGGATTAATATACTAGTAAAATAGCTCCCAGGAAGTGGGGGTGAGGTTGGGGGTGTTTTTGTTTTGCTTTTTTGTTGTTTTTTCTGAGCGTCTTTGTTTTCCCCCGTTTGTTTTCGCCTTTCTTGTTTTCGCCTTCCTGGTTTATCCTTTTTTATTTTCAGCGATTTTTTTGGCAATTTTTTTTGCTTTTTTGTAGTTTAGCCACCATATTTACACATCATGTCTATTAGTAACATGCTACTCGAATGATATGAATATTTTATCGCCAAAACTCGCGAAAAAAACTACGTTTTCCGACAAAGATGTTTAGACCTATTATAATACTCGATCTAGTACGAGATCACATAGTCTTACCACGCCATCCCGGAGTGGTTAGCCAAAATCTGCATAGCAATTCCATCTAGAACAACGGCTGTTGGAGAAAGTTCGTATGAGACTCGTAGGGAGCAAACAGGCTATTGCCATCACAATCAGCACTGCTACATCATACATTTTAAGGAGCACAGGATACATGATGGGATCAGAGAGCACCCTTTAGCACTCCTAACATATCTACCGGGCCGGTCGTATATGCACCCCCAACCCTCGAGTCCATCCCCCACCTTGAAATGTCCGTTAGGCCATCATGCCCGGCGAATCAATCCAACCCAACGGTGCATCAAAAGTTACGATACGAGCGAACGACATCAAATGTTAGGAATGGTCTCTCCACTCTTGCCCTCCACCACCTTTTTATAAATCCACTTTGTGGAGGGCAGCTAGGTAGGTATTGCAAGATCTGGTTAGCACTCGACGGGCGTGAGGTGCCCGGGAGCGATGGGGTAGTAGAGTTACCTAGAGAGTGTAAGTGGACTCATTTATTGGGTGGAGGTGGGGAATGCTATAGCGCTGCTGTGTGTGGCTACTCGTAGGCCTTTTCCTGGTAGTATGGAGTTGGGCGTGGGGATGGAGGTGGTATTGGGTTTCGGAGACATACTTGATTACGTTGGTACCTTATTTCCTGAATAGCTTGTCCATTCCTTGCCCGGTTTTAAACCGAATTATTATTTTTGGGGTGGATGTTAAAAAAGAGTTGATAGCGATATGTTTTGCATGATATCGCACTGTCTGGATCGAGGATCCATAGATAGGTGGTAGGGGGATTTCTGCGTAGATGACCCAGTTTGATCATGGGGAATCACTCGCTTGAGTGAAAACTCTACTGGAAGCTTTTGGTACGATGGGAAGGGCTTTGGTGGTTTGGGTAGTCTACCCGTTTATCTATGATTGAGTTCGAATATTCTAGCATCGTAGTTTCACAAGCGTGCGGCACGTGCGGTATGATATCATACCGGTGTGGACTTATTCTCCGTGCGACGCCTCATGGGAATGTAGGATAATGGTGAGGTAAGACTCGTATGATAGCTTCTGGTGGTCGTGAGTCATCGGGGTCTAAAGCCCGCGGTACGATCCTCATCACCAAGAACCTCGCTCAACCATGTCGTACCGCAGAATACTGACGAATGCACGGAACATTTTGTGGTTGCAATGATATGTCTCCTGTATGGGTCAAACTGGGGGGGTTTCGGTGTGTCAGAGCGGATCCTGGCTCAAGATACTACAACCCAGGTGTCAACTCTAGTGTACACTGATTTTGAGGTTCTAGGGTTGGACCCCAACAGCGAAATCTCGGACTATACGAATTCTCTTGACATTTGGTCACTCGGATGTGTGGTATATGGGCTGCTTGTCGGGACAAGATTATTCGCTTCAGAGGGCCAAGTCTCGTTACTACTTCGGGGAATTTCCCATTTCCGGGGGATAGATTAAAATTTTTATCGTCTCCAACGAACGATGTGGGGATTTTGTTCTTGAAGTGCATGCTCGTAATACAACCTGAGGATCGCCCTGCCGCGGAGAATGCGCTGAAGCATGCTTGGTTGATGGGCCATACGGGTGGCAATATGAATGGTGGAAGCGGTCGGAATAAAACAACGCAACGCGGGGGTGAGAGCGCTGGGAGCAGGACGACCGAAAACGAGCTAGCTACTGACGACAAACCAGAAAAATGAAGAAGCAAAAGAAACCTGATTACTAAGGACGATACAAAGTACACCCCCAGAGATGTGGCTTTAGGGGAGAATCTAGGGCCGCAATGGGGAAGTGATCCAAAGTCCCTAAAATCTGCAATCATGATGACAACACCAGATGCAGCCTCCATCGGGAGCTCACCGATCCAGACGGGGCCCCTGGATCCGGAATTGATTGCTCACAGTTTCCCGGCGACTCATCCCAAGGGCGCTGAAGGTTCCAGATGGATGTTGATTGATTGAGATAGATTGTAGAGGTTTCGGGAGTCTGGCGGAGAGTTCAGAGGTTCAATGGATTAGTGCGGAGGTTCAGAGACTGACAGGAGATTCTCCAGACATGTCTTTCCTTTGTTATCACGGGAGTGTATGGAGGAAAGGGTAGCATGCTTGGCGAGATACGGATAGGTGTGGGTGATTCATGGAATGGTCAGGATACATTGTTTATGCTTTACTTATACACCTGTCTTTACCATTAGTTTAGAAACGAACGAACCAAGTTGTTTTTCCCTACCTCACGCTCTTGTCCACACCCTGTGACAGTTCCCACATAGTCCTTTAATCTCTCTCTCTATCGCTGTGCGAGTCAATCATTGACTGCTATACCCATACGTAAGACTGTACAATACTGTACATACGAGTACTCGAGTGTCTTAATTGTGGCAGCGATCCCCAGTTTGGTATGGCAGATTGGTCAGCCACCTCGGCAAGATATCGCAGTTCACACGTGTACCTTACCGTAAAATACTCGTACATTATGCATCTTTCATTGATTAACCACCCTTGATTCGACAATCCCAGAACAACCCAATCATATACACGCATGGGTAGCCGGATGCTCGCAGTAAGAGGTGCACACTGCTGAAACACAGGACCCGAGCACTTGGTACAGTACAATGCATGGGTCACGGGAAACCTGTAATGGGGAACCTTTTTTTTCCCTTCACGGGTAACTAGAAAAAACACGCAACCTACCGTACCCTGCCTTACTAATCCTACCCGCACACCGTTCACAACGCCAAGTGCACCAGTCCCGGCGGTGGGAATTGAGCGCCGGGAATACACCAGGTCTCGAGTATAGGATTAAAAAAAGGAAAGTGTTTTTTCCGAGTACCGACTTTTGAGATGATGATCCAATTTTACGTGCCTGTATGCAAAATATCTCTATGATACGCAAAGGTTTTTCAATTCAGGGAATTCCCATAATATTTTCCCAACCGCGAAGTCAAAAGACCTCCCCTCGCAACCGGAAGAAACGAGTATGTATTGCGGATTTGCGGTAACCATTGCTAAGAGACAAATTGCGGATTATTTTCGCAACGTAATCAAAGAACTCGCAAGCGCTGTGCATGGTATCTGTAGATGTCCCACTCGAGTGATTTAGCTTTCACCTGTGTCCAGTGACAGAGTCCTCTTCCAATCTCCCCCGGTTCTCTCGAAATCTCGTTGCAAAAACCAGGGAGTAAAAATAGATAATTGTAGCGAGCAATTACATGCTTTTTCATGACCTGAAATATGTACATGCCCCCGTGTCTCTCAGAATACGGTAGAGTCGATGGTACAACGATACGGTGCGAGCCTGACAGAGATAGCACAACCCTACTCTGAAACCTGGGATAATTGGGGATATCGCAAGGACTTTGGAATTGCCTCTTGGCCTGTGGTATTATTTTTCTGTTCATTTGTCGCATCTGAGGGCCCAAAGGTGTTGGAGGTCGTGGGTGCAGCGCGACACGCTGGTAGCCTAGGTTGTTTGGCAGTTCAGATAAAAGTTTCGGAGTAGCACTTTGGATTAACTCATCAATGGAAGGAAATAATATATCGGCAGGAAGAAAATCACGTACCCGTCGAATGCAATACTCGAGAGTCAAAGTGACAGAGCGGGGGCTATGAAAAGTGGGAGTCTTTATGAAGCTTAACGTTCTTTTGTTAGCATAGGAGTCTGCACGAGAAAGAGAGACTTGTGTGAACGAGAGTGGGTATGTGTGGTGATAGATGGAAAGATAGGGAGACACCTTTGCTGGGGTTCATATATACTCCCGCCTTTCCCGGTCCGTTAGTTAGGTGAGAAAGAGAATGAGTAAAACTTCCCTATCCCTCTCTAAGTCGTCGCCTCCTCATCAATATCGTATTTCTCTGTTGCTTGAACCGTCGCCGTTTGGAAAGTACCCTTCCAAGTTTAGGAGAGAACCGAAATCTGTGATGAGGTCTTGTCGGCCCATGACTTAACAAGATTGCGCAAATATTCCAGGCCTCCAAGGTTTTTCCAGACCAACTCTGGCTCCTTTATCTGGCGATTTATAACACAAATGGTGTCAGCCAGCCTCGTCTCCCAGCCAGATCGTGGTTGCCTATAAGACAGGTAGTTTTGCAGGTTTGTGGTATGGGGGACTCGCGATGGGTTTCGAGAGTTTGTGGGAGGTTTGGGATTATCCCCTCGGCCGCTGAGACATTCAGTCCAGTTTTAAATGTTGAATACTAGCCTATTCAAGAAATGATCAACATCACATGATATCAGGTCGGGATTCAGCCTACTATTGTATACTATAGGAATCCAAAAAAAAAACTAACTATGAAAGACAGGAAAACACTCATGACATAATGCAACATTACATTCTTTACACCCGTAAGTAACTGACCTAACCTTAACTACTTGTGACCTGTTTTCAAACCTTTTCTAGCGACAGAAAATGCATTAGGTTGATGTTGGGCGTTGCTTGATTGTGTAGGTTGGTAGCGGTGGAAATGAAGTAGGTAAAGGTTTTTGGTTTTTTTCAGCAAAGCTAGACCAGCTGAATGGGCTGTGGATATATCTGGTTTTGTCAAAGACTGGATCGTTTGGAAGAGATGTGGAACCCACAGCCCTTAAGGAAGCTGAATGATACAGGAAAGGGGGCAGGGGTGGATATAAGGTTCTCGAATACTCTGAGGCTGGGGAGCTGTTACTGGTAGAAGTATGGAAGATAGAATGCGCCTGAGATTGTTGAGGAAGGCTATAAGGTATTGCAAGGTGGTGGAGAAGAGGGTGAGGTAGACTCTTTTGGTTTAATAAGATCAGAGGAGGTGCATCTGGAGGTAGTATAGGAGGGGCTTGAGGAATTAGAGAGTTATAGGAAGATGAAAGAGAGGAAACGGTTGAGGTGGTATGGGAGTCTAGAAAGAGCAGA